TGGCTGTACTAGTTTGCATTCCCACCAACAGTGTAAGAGGGTTCCCTTTTCTCCACACCCTCTCCAGCATTTATTGCTTGTAGACTTTTGGATAGCAGCCATCCTGACTGGCGTATAATGGGTACCTCATTGTTAACCTTCTCTTTTTCATTCACTCATATATCTGTTCATTCAATCAGTAAATATTTCTTGGATTGCCTTAGAACTTAGTAGTCATTACCCATTAAAGTAATTGAAGATTCTGAACAAGTTCTGTTTTTCTTTTACTCGTCTGTCACTGTATTATAAGATACTCAACCTTTAATTCAGGGAGAATTTTAACAAATTTTATATAGATATTTTTAACTTGTTGTAACTCTTGAAGAATATAGGTGACAAACAAGTCTGGAAAAAACAAATCTCATTTCCATCTACCAGCTTTTTTATTCTCCATTGTATACTACCTGTAATCTCTACCATAGGGCAAAACTTAAGTAATGTCAGTTATCCACGTGGATTGAACTCCACTATCTAAAAATTTCATTATTTTATGAACTTACTCAATTTAATAGTTCACTGACTTAAAACTACCTCATTTGCTTTAAAACAAACTTATGAAACTATATAGCTACCCAACCAAGTTACTCTATAAGACTTACCTCTTGGAATTGTAATACTTATCATTTTAAGAATAACTTGATTATTCAATAATAAAATAGTATTTTAAGACCCTGAACAATCCTTCTAAGTTGTTTTTTTTAATTTCAGTATCAGAAGTTCTACGATCAGCAGGACTACCATCTCATACTTCCTCAATTTCGCAGCATTCTAAGGGAAGTAAATCACCAGACTGGCTGATGCATCAGGGTCCACCAGACACTGCAGAGATAATAAAAACTTTACCTCAGAAATACAGAAGGAAACTTGTGTCTCAAGAAGAAATTGAATTTATCCAAGTATGTTATTGCTCTTTATCACAATACTGTGGAAGACACCTTATTAGCTTTGGAGTTTCAGATGCTGATTTACATGTTCTTCCAATTGTCTTGTCAAGGTGTGTCCATACCTAAGACAGGGATGGTCAGGTAGGCCAGGACTATGAGAAATAAATGATGTTTGAGCCCTCAATAAATGTGCTTGAAAGAATAATTTTATTTAAATATTTAGTTATTTTAAATTCTTTATTTGGCTGCATCTGTTTGGTTTTTTTGTTATTGTTTTAATTGTAGGCATTCTGGATCTTTGATCATTGAGGCATGTGAGCTCTTTAGTTCCAGCATGCAAACTCTTAAATTGTGGCATGTGGGATCTAGTTCCTGACCAGGGTCCTCATTAATTTTTTTATAGTTTAAAGGACCAAGAAATTCGAGGACCATTGACCTAGGTCAAACTTGAGTCCCTTTCAGATCTGAAATTCTTTATAATATTGATATGAGATATGAGAGCCCAAAAGCTATGAAAAATCTGAAATTTGTTTTAAGACCTAAAGATCATTGCTTTAAAATGTCTCAGATTTTTATAGTTCCCATGAAAAATTTTTTTGTAAATGAAACACCTAATCTTATTGCTTTATTTCTTCCTTTTCAGCGTGGAGGTCCGGAATAATCACTGACAATGAGGCTGCAATGAGAAGAGACAATGAGACTCTTCTTTTAGAAGAGTCTTTCTAAAAAAGGACTTCCAGAATGACAAATGAAAAACTGTATATTAAACAACTTTAATAAATATTCTGTAAAAAGAAAAAAAAAAGATAAAGTATAAAAAATTTAGATGGACACTTATATCTCCTAATTTATGTATCTTTGTCAGCTTCTCTAGAAGCTTACCTGATTGTTTATATACTTTATACCTTAATTAAAGTATACATTTTAAAATGTTAGCCTATTAATTTACTTTTGATTATCAAGCATAACAGTGTTGAACTATTGAAAGCACACAATGTCTAGTGAACCATCAAAGGCTTCCAGTAATTTCACTTTTCTTTCAGTTTCCACTTAACAATATATTTGGCAGAATTGCAGCTTTCTGGAAGTAATTTTCCTAAACTTGAATGAGGATCCATGAAATAACTCCATTATTCATTCTTACTTCTCAGTGTTTTTGCATTCACAAAGTTACTGGAACATAACTGGCTTATTAACAAGCATATCCTACTCTAAATGATAAAAATATACCCATGGTAAAACAGTTGACTTTGTGGTATTAAGACTAGGGAGTTAACACACAATATTATATGTAACCTGTATTCAGAAAATGCCAGAGTATAAAATGGAAAATGAGATCAAAATGAATATAGCATAGGAATAACATTTGACTAGAAATTGTAATTTATTATGTTTTCAGGGGGGTTAAGAAAGTCTTGTTCTTTGGCTTATCTCTTTGTTTTGATTGTGATCATGTATACAAATCCTGATAATCAAAAACTTTCTCAAACTTAATTGTCTGAAAGTCTCATAAAATCAACCTATTTACGTTAAGGCAATTAACAGAATTTTGATAGGGTCTTCCTGTACCAAGGGTATGTATAATTGTGAAAGTAAAGCCTCACACAGTGAAATAAATTCTCTTCCATACCTTTAAAAAAAAAAAATAGACTCACTGTTGAGTTCTGCGGGGGCTGGTGCTCAGAATCAAAGGAAAGACTGTGGATTCGTGTCGCAGGAGTCCCAGCAGGAAGTGGCTCTGTGATCAGCCCGGGATTTGATGCATCAGAGCTGCACAAAGGAGAATGACCAGGCCAGCTGGGAGCTGAGAGACAAGGGGCTCAGGATCAATCAGAGGTTTGGAAGGTGCCCAGCATTCCCATGGGCGGGGGCAGAGTCAAGGCAGCTGAGATTCCCTCCATGTATCTCCGGGTCGGGCTGCCGGGGAGACTGGGTTGCATTCAGAAGATGAATCATTGCAAAGCCAGCTGATGCTTGTAGAGCTCTTTCCCCCAGAGGTGATGTCTGGTAACAGGGCTTTGTGGCCTGTTATCCATTCATTCCAGTGGTCAGAAGGCAGGAGGCTGAGAGGAAGTCATCAGCCTCACTGACAGGCTGAGCCAAGAGGGAAATCCCAGGAGGATTCCTCACTGTTCTCCCAACAACAGAGATTCCACACATGGCTTCACATGCCCCGTTCATAGGCACTGTCTGCAATGCTTTGGGAGCTACTCTCTGTCCAGAGTGCTGTGGATTACAAGTGCTCTGGATTTCAGAATGTTATCACATACTTAAATGTCCCACTAATGATGTTACATCTAAAGAGGAGTAAAAAGTTGAGCTGTCAAAAAAAAAAATGTCGGGGGTGGGTGACGGGAAATAACCATAGGATTCTCAATTGCTAAGCACACTTTTTTATTGAAGTACAACATACATACAGAAAAGGGCACAAACCACAAGTGTACGGCTCAAAGAATTTTCACGAAATAGACATGCCCAAGTGACCAGCAACCAGATCAAGGAACAGAACATCCAAGGAGCACCCTTGTGCCCCCTAAGAGTAACTTACATAACTACTTGCAAACAGCTTTGCCAGCTTTCTCACCTGATGCTAACGGAACTACACGGTGCGGATTTGCCTCCTCTTGTGAGACTCACAGTGTCGTCGTGTGTCTGCAGGAGCATCCCTTCTCCTTGCTATGTAGGGCTTCACTGTGTGAATATACTATAACTTGTTTATCCATTCGACATGGGCATGTGGCTACTTTCCAGTTTGGGGTTATTATGAACAGTGCTTCTATGAATTTTCTAGTACATTTCTCTTGGTGAATATACATACACATTTCTTTTGGGTAGACACCTAGGAATGGAGTCTTTAGGTCATATGATAAGTACACTTAACCCAGGCTAGTTCACAGAAGAATGAGGAATTTATTGGATGGAGCTTGAATGAAGTGGGGCCAAGGAACAAAGCAGAAACAATCTGCTCAGGACTGTGTCATCCCTAGACACTGCTACCAGTGGACATCACCCCTGCAGCCTGCTAGTCTTGGAAACCTTCATGATGGACCACTGCTGCAATTAATAGAATTTTGATAGGGTCTTCCTGTACCAAGGGTATGTATAATTGTGAAAGTAAAGCCTCACAAAGTGAAATAAATTCTCTTCCATACCTTTAATGATTTCTAGAATATGTTTTAAAGAAGTCATCCCTAATAGGGTAATTCATGAGTAATAGAATTGTTGAGTACATTTTTGTGTTTGCCCAGTTACATATGGATTAATCTTTATACTTATTTTGTTTTTTCTGCTGTTTCAGAGTTGATCTGCTTTTTGTGTAAATTCTGTATTGTGGCCTATTATAAATGTTGCCCAACTCAAATGTAAGATAGGAATTTGGTGCTAGCAATAAGCTACTCTGGTAATGCAGGAGAAATACAAGACTCAGGATTTCTTTTTATTATTTAAAAAAATGTATTTGGAAAAATTTCTTAAAAACCTGTACTATTCTCTTTTTTCTCCTTAGCTTTCTTATTTCAGTAAAAAGAAGCTCATGGCAAGTTTTTTCTTCTTTCAGAAACAGAGTAGGTTCAGGAGATGAAGAGTGGCTCAAATAATACTGTGGGCCAGCAGTTAGAAACCCCCGTACTGGAACTGAGGGCCACATTTACTGCAGCTGCTGCCATGAAAGTTCCAATGAAAAAATATATCACTTATATAATCATGACTAGAGGCACGACAAAAGAATGTTCATGGGAACTGCTGTCATAGGATGAGCTCCCAAAGAGGATAGTGTCATAGAAGGAATTTGGGTTTAGCGTTAATAGCTTGTATATTCATTTAGGAGTTAAACACTTAAGTATCCATAACCATTAGCGAATTGCTTAGTTTGTCCAACTTGCAGTTTTTTTCTCCAGTACTTTACAGTTTGATAGGCAGGATCAAATTAGAGTATTGACTGTTGCTGTTGTTGTTCAGTCCCTTAGTTATGTCCGACTCTGTGACCTCATGAAATGTAGCATGCCAGGCTTCTCTGTCCTCCACTATCTCCCAGAGTTTGCTCAAGTTCATGTCCATTGAGTTGGTGATGCTAACACCTTCTGTTACCCCTTTCTCCTTTTGCCTTCAGTGTTTCCCAGCATCACAGTCTTTTCCAATGAGTTGGTTCTTCACATTAGGTGGCCAAAGTATTGGAGCTTCAGCTTCAGCAGCAGTCCTTCCAATGGATATTCAGGGTTGATTTTCTTTTGGATAGACTTGTGTGAACTCCTTGCTGTCCAAGGAACACTCAGGTCTTCTTGAGCATCACAATTCAAAAGCATCAATTTTTCAGTGCTTATCCTTCTTTATGGTCCAACTCTCACATCCATATATGACTACTGGGAAAACCACAGCTTTGACTATACAGATCTCTGTTGGCAGAGTGATGTCTCTGCTTTTTAATACTCTGTCTAGGTGTGTCATAACTTTGTTTCCAAAGAGCAAGCATCTTTTAATTTCATGACTGCAGTCACCGTTCCCAGTGATTTTGGAGCCCAAGAAAATCTGTCACTGCTTCTACTTTTCCCCCTTTTATTTTCCATGAAGTGATGGGACCAGATGCCATGATCTTTGTTTTTTGAATGTTGAGATTTAAGCCAGCTTTTTCACTCCCACCTTCATCAAGAGGCTCTTTAGTTCCTCTTCACTTTCTACCGTTAGAGTGGTATCATCTACATATCTGAGGTTGTTGATGTTTCTCCCAGCAATCTTGATTCCAGCTTGTGAGTCATCCAGCCCAGTGTTTCACATGATGTACTCTGCATATAAGTTAAATAAGCAAGGTGACAATATACAGCCTTGTCATACACCTTTCCCAGTTTGGAACCAATCAGTTGTTCCATGTCTGGTTCTAACTGTTGCTTCTTGACCCATATATAGACTTTCTCAGGAGACAGGTAAGGTGGTCTGGTACTCCCTTCTCTTTCTGAGAATTTTCCACTGTTTGTTGTGATCCGCACAGTCAAAGGCTTCAGTGTACTCAATGGGGCAGAAGTAGATGTTTTTCTGGAACTCCCTTGCTTTCTCTGTGATTCAACAAATGTTGGCAATTTGACCTCTGGTTCCTCTGCCTCTTCGAAACCCAGCTTGTACATCTGGAAGTGCTTGGTTCATGTAGTCTATTACTTTGTAATAAAGCACCCCAAAACCTAGTGGCTAAAAACATTATCACTTCATAGCTCATGGTTTCTCTGGATCAGGAATTCTGGAAGAGTGTGCCCGGGCAATTCTGCTCAGTGTTTCTCATAAAGCTGCAGTCAGTGCCACCTGGGGCTGGACCATCTAGCTCCAAGATAGCTAACTCACTTTACTGGCAGATTGATGTTGGCTGTTGGTAGGAGGTCTCGATTCTCTACCTAGGCCTCTCCACAGGGCTGCCCTAATGAATTCACAACACGATGGCTGACATCCCCAGAGGAGGTGATCTAAGTGAACAAGCAGAAACAACAATCCCTCTGATCTACACTCATTATACAAATTCATTTCTGCTATATTCTGTTACAGAAAATAGTCCATTTCATTGAGGAAACTACCCAAGTGCATTAATACCAAAAGGCAAAAATCATTAGGACCATTTTGGAAGCTGGTTTCCACTGGTGTGTAAAAGTGCCTTGTTAACTGTAAAATGCTATACACATGGTTAATGGTATTTTGTATTTATACAATGACCTAATGGGCCCACAATATCACTTAAACATTGCCTTTGTTATCCTATTTAAAAAGTTCCAATATAGGAATTCACTTGTCTAAAGTATGGTATAAGAGGGCTTACCAATTCATATGCCATGGCACACTTGGGAACCTCAAGCCTCAAATTTAGTTCACTATGTAGCTTGTTTCTACAAGTGAGAATAGATTACTATTACAGTAATGTCTTTTAGAAGGAACTGTGACCTAAGTCACATATCATATATCCACTAGCTATGACTTGCCACAATTAAGAGAGTGATAGAGATGGTGTGTTTTCTGTGCTGTAGGAGAATTTTGCTTAATGACTATATCAGCACTCAAAGACCCAAGTAGTGACAAAGAATAGGAAGGTGATCAATAACAGTTATTGTTAACATAAACTGAGCACTGTTGGACAGTATCCTAAGGGTTTTTGAAGTGTGCAGTCATTTAAGCCTTGTAGCAGCCCAGTGAGCAGGTCCTATTACACAGGAGGAAACTAGCACCAGAAAGATTAAATGATGTGCCTAAATCATAAATCTAGTAAATGAATATTTGTGGGTCCAATATTCATATGCAGATAGTCTAGATCCAGAGCAAGGACTCAACTTTTACACTATATTATCTTGAGTAAGTTACCAGCTTTTGTATTCTACTGCCTTCTTCAATGTAACTATGAAAAGTTATATTGAAGATTCTTATATTGAAGTTATATATTCAGGATTCTCAACTCTCAGAAACATTAAATCAGTTCAGTTGCTCAGCTCAGTCGCTCAGTCTGACTCTTTGCAACCCCATGGACTGCAACACGCCAGGTTTCCCTGTCCATTACCAACTCCCGGAGCTTGCTCAAACTCGTGTCCATCAAATCAGTGATGCCATCCAACCNGCCTGGCATTTTGCATGATGTACTCTGCATGTAAGTTAAATAAGCAGGGTGACAATATACAGCCTTGACATACTCTTTTCCCAATTTGGAAACAGTCCATTTTTCCATGTCCAATTCTAACTGTTGCTTCGTGACCTGGACACAGATTTCTCAGGAGGCAGGTAAGGTGGTCTGGTATTTCCATCTCTTTAAGAATGTTAAATTCTTAAAACATTAAATGCTCCAGCTCAAAACCTTAGAATTATCCTTTTCTTTTCCATAGTCCATGTTAAATGTCAGCAAATCTATTGTCTAGAAGCTAAACTGGTACTCTCAATACAACCATCTGGATCACTCCAAAAATTCTTTAGCCTTCTTGCTTCTTCTTGACCCTCTAAATTTATAGTGTAATTTCTCACAACAAAGTGAGCCTTTTAAAACATTAAGTCAGATATCATTTATCTGCTCAAAACTTTGCAGTGGCTTTTCAGTAATATCTTTCTGGTAACACCCTATTTAAAATCACAAACCCTACTATCTATTTCCTTCCCCTGCTTTACTATCTCAGTAGCACTGGTCAGTATGTATCGAAGTGTATTTTAATTGTTCCGTTAGCTCCTCCCATTGGAAAGCAGGGATCTTTGTTTTTTAGCTTGCTGATTTCTCAGAGTCTGCAACAGAGTCCAGCATACAGTAAGCACTCAATATATATTCGTTAAATATATGAATTAATGTTTGTTGATTTGTATGAAAAGTGAATAAAGCTGGGCACTGATTACAATTAACCATTGAGGACTATGCCTAAAACTTTGTGCAAGTATCATTTAATCCTCGCAACCGCCTATGATGAAATCTATTAGCTCCTTCCACCTTACAGGGTGAAAAACTGATGGCCGGAAGTGTGTTCCATAGCACGAAACTGTTCAGCTTACTAGGAATTTGTTTGCCTGGATGTGCTTCTTCATAAAGAACTAAGAATGCCTCTTGACCAGACATTAAGAACTAGCGCTCGCTTCAGTTCAGTTCAGTCACTCAGTCTTGTCTTGACTCTGACCACATGGACTGCAGCACGTCAGGCTTCCCTGTCCATCACCAACTCTCGGAGCCTGCTCAAACTCATAGCCATCCGGTCGGTGATACCATCCAACTCCGCTTAAGTAACGAAATTGTCGGCTTAGGCGTCCATGGTAACCATGGTGACAGGATAGCCTTGAGAAAAACCAGAGATCGGAGATATGGCCAAGCTTTCCACACCCATAACACCTATTAAATCCTGAACTCAGAGCGCTGATCGGTCCTCAGTAGTGAAGAAAGTACCTGTTAAAACGGTAACAGGGCGACACACTAGCTACCTCCAAGAGCACCACGCCTCCGGCACTATCTGCGGTTACGTGAGCAGACGCGGCACGGTTCAGGGAGGCCCAGGAGTCCCGCCTCGCCTCGCGCAGCTTCCGTGGGGAGGGCTCTGGCCGGACCTACTTCACAGCATCCCCGCCCACCCCGGAAGTGGGGGCGGAGCGAGTGAGGCGTCGGCGCTCAGTGGGCGGAAGTGGCTGTTGGAGGCTTTAAGGTAGCTTTAAATTCCTGCTGTCTTGGCAGCTCACCCCTTTCAGCTGGAGACGGGCTCCTCGCGACTGATGGCTGTGGACGTGAAGTCGCGAGCGAAGCGTTATGAAAAACTGGACTTCCTCGGGGAGGGACAGGTGAGGCTCTCGGGCGGGGCTCGGAGGTCCCTGAGCAGGGAGCGCCGGTCCGCTTCACACTGTCGAAAGTTTTCTCGTGGAAGCCAGCGGCCGGGCCACGCTCCTCGTTCTCGGAGGAGGAGGCTGCGCAGACGCCCCTTTGTCCACCCTGGACCTGAGTCCCTGAGCGGCCCTCTCCGCTCAGTGGACTGGAACGGGACGTGGACGTCCTCACCACGTTGCCAGCCGCCGCGAATTTGCTCCGAGAACCCTGGATTCCTTGCTTCCCCAGATCTAAAAAAAGTGAAAAGGCCAATACAAACCAAGAAGTTCTCACAAACTTAACATTACTCCTGTTTTTCTGTCTAGTTTGCCACGGTTTACAAGGCCAGAGACAAGAACACCAACCAAATTGTCGCCATTAAGAAAGTGAGTTGCAGTTTGTTTTTCCTTGTGTCTTCGTGAAGGGGGGTGGGTGTGTGTTTTACTACTCTTGACCGTGCTCTGCTAATGAGTTGCTTATGTCATTTTCAAAGAAAATAGAATGTCTTAGTGTCTGTGTTCCAAGGTGGAACTCGGGTTGAACTAGCGTTTTGTTCCATCCATTGAAATTGAGATGAAGAGGGGCTTTATCTTTGTTTTATAAACGCAAACATTGGCAAAGGGGACAAATACGCTCTCTCTGTTGGGCCCTCAGAACTACTCATCTTTCCAGGTCCCTATTTCTTCCTCACCAGCATCCACTGTATATCTGTATTTTCTGAATACATACTTACCATAAAAGGCTTTTGCCAGCATTAATGACATTGGTGGTTTTTTTTTTTTTAATGGTTTAAGTACCTTTTTTACTTGCATTTCATTCAAGAAACTTAGGTCATATTTGGCTTTCTATATGCCCAGAACTCTCACCCTTGTTTTTCTCATTTAACCCTCATAAGAGCCAGGTGATGGCAGTAAAGTGTCTCTGTTTTATACTTGAAGCTTGTTTTATACTTGGTGCCTGAAGCTAAGGGAGATGAGGTGACTCATCGAGATGGCACGGGCAGAAGTTGACAGAGCCAGGCTTTAGACCCAGGTGTACTGCTTCCAGGCTGATTGCCTTTCCCCTTACTTCTGAAATCAGTAACCCTCTCAGGAGAGGCTGGTTTCTTCACGCCTCGTAGATAAAGGAGCCTGGTGGGTCCCTGGAGTTGCAAAGAGTCAGACATGGCTGAGTGACTGAGCACACACACAAGGCCTGTTGGTGGCTTAGGTAGCCACCTTCCTATTGTTCCTGTTGCTGCTTTGAACCTGTTTCTCCTTCAAAATCCCTAATTCCTTTGAAGCACATCCCTCTCATATTCTTAACACCTGCTTCCCATTCTTCCTTTCTACAATTATTCCTGCCATTGTTCTCTTTTTTACTTTTTCTGATGTGTCTAATCTCTTTTTTCAGTTTGTGTTCTATAAGCCAGTGCTATTTATAGCTCCTCCCACATAAAACCCTTAACTTTCCTAATCCTTTTAAAGTTATTTTTCTGATTCTGCCCCTGGTTCACTTTATTCTAGCCACACTGACCTTTCTGTCCCTTGAATATGTTAAATTCATCTCAGTCCCAGATTCATTGCATTTGCTCTGGCTTCCACTTAGTGTATTTTTCCTCTCAAACTTGGCCTGGCTGGTTCCTTATCATTTAGATCTCAGTCAGATATCTCCTGTACATACAGACTTCTGCTGGTCATTCTAGCTGGAACAGGTGTACCTGCCTTCTTCCCTAGTGTTCTTTTCCATATTTCTTTGTTGTCTTCATAGCATTTATCAAAATCTTTTATCTTTGAGTTTATTTTCTATTTACTACCACTCTGTGGCTAGTACATTTGTAGACACTCTTAAAAATGTATTGGCTTGATTAACTGATAATGGTCTCTTCAAACTGTTGGCATATTGAGTTCTGTGGTTTTTCTGAAAATCCCAGTTGGTTTACTTATTTGCTTGCTTTTATCATAAATTAGGATTTAGAATTCATTCTATTTCTCAGTGATGGGCTTTCCAGGTGATGCTCGTGGTAAAGAACTTGCCTGCCAGTGAAGAAGACATAAGAGATGTGGGTTCGATCCCTGAGTCGGGAAGATTCCCTGGAGAAGGGCATGGCAACCCACTTGAGTATTGCCTGGAGAAGTCTGTGGACAGAGGAGCCTAGTGGGCTCTGGTCCATAGGGTCACAAAGAGTCAGACATGACTGAAGCAACATAGCACTATATTTCTCAGTGATAGACTGCTACCCCTTGAAAGTGACTCATTATGGAATATTCTTTTACATTTAATTTTTATTTCAAATAGTACATCTTTTTAGTTTTATGGAATGTAACATTTATATAAATGGAATATATAACCTTTAAATCACTGTGTTGCACACCTGAAACTTACATAATATTGTATGGAAACTGTACCTCGAAAAAAACAGGAATATTTCTCCTTTTACCAAACCCAATTAATTCTCAAAGCTTTTTTTTTTTTTTTAAGTCAGTTACGAGGCTACGCGTGCCTCTCTCCTCTACCCCTAGTTTTCACTCATTGGAGCAATGCCTTTCAACTCCAGAATTGTTTTCTCTGGTATTTACATCCATTTTTTTTAGATAGTATGCTTATCGTTCCTTGAGGGGCCTCCTTCCTTAGTTCAGACACTCTCTAGACTTAAACTGTAAACCCTGGAGATTTGGTGCTTGTGCATCTTCCCCTTCCAACGCTTGATTTCTGTTCCCACTCATTTACTGGCTTCCCTGGTGGCTCAGACGGTAAAGCGTCTGCCTACAGCGCGGGAGACCTGGGTTCGATCCCTGGGTGGGGAAGATCCTCTGGAGAAGAGAATGGCAGCCCACTCCAGTACTCTTGCCTGGAAAATCCCACGGACGGAGGAGCGTGGTAGGCTATAGTCTGTGGGGTCACAGAGTCAGACATGACTGAGAGACTTCACTTTCTTTCTTTCTTTTCTTGAATTTAACAGAAAAGGAGTAATAAGCTATGTATTCTTTCACCTGTTGTATTTTGGACCTTTAAAATATCATTAATCTACCATATCCTTTTTAAACAGTTGTACTGAATTTACGTTTCCCAGTTTAACCAGTCCTCTGTGGTAGCTTTTTGGAGTAGTTTTCACTTTGCAGTATTTGTTTAATATATCTCAACAATACACATTATTGTATACTTCTAAGCTCTTTCTCTCTTCCTACACACACACACACACACACACACACTCACTCTTCTGCAATTTGTTTTTCTGACTTAGTATCATTTCTGAAATCTTCCAGATGGATACATGTAGATCTGTTTATTCATGCCATTTGATGATTAGATTCTATTCTATAACTACGCTAAAATTGGTCTCTCCAAATTGTTGATAAACATTTAAGCTCCTTTTTTTTTTTAATGTTTTACTCTAATACAGTCCTTCTACAGACATACATTTGTGCATTTCTCTAGAAAATGTATCTGTAGTTGAAACTAATTGCCAGTTGTTGCTACATAGAGAATACCCTGATGCTGAGAAAGAGGGAAGGCAGGAAGGGAAGGGGATAACAGAGAACAAGATGGTTGGATGGCATCACCAACTCAATGATCATTAGTTTAAGTAAACTCTGGGAGATGGTGAAGGACAGGGAAGCCTGGCGTGCTGCAGTCCATGGGGTTACAAAGAGTTGGACACGACTGAGCAACTGAACAACAGCAAGAGAATACACATCAACATCCCCAGATACTATCAAACTGCTTTCCAAAATGGTTGGATCAGTTTAACCTCCCACCACATTTTCACCATGTTTGTATCGTCAGACTTTACAACAGTTGTCAATCAGATCGATCAAAAGTGGTACGTGGATGTCTTTTCAATTAATATTTCTCTGATTACCAGTGAGTTTGATCATCTTTCCTAGATTTATTGGCTTTTTATACTTTTTCTGTTAGGTTGTCTACATTTTTTTCCTTTCCTTTTGACTTGATGGAATTTCTTATATATTTTGGATACTGAACCTTAATCAGAAATATGCACTACAGGTACCATTGTCAATGTAAATCTATAACAAGAATAGAAGAGTGTTATTCAAGCCAATCTTAGGATTATAGCCCAGAAGGCAGTCTCTCGGATAGCTCAGAGTTCTGAAGAAGTACTGTTTTCAGTGTAGTTAATATCTTGTCAGAACAGAAAACGTCAAACATAACTTGGGTACATTCCTTCAGAGTTTAAAAAAACAAGATCAGAAGACAGATCGCTGTATATAGTGAGTCAGTATGATCTTGGCTCCTGGCAAAGGGACCTTATCAAAGGAGTACTACCATTGAAGTCCCTGAAAGGGAGGCACTTATCCTTATCTTCAAAATAGGCATTCTTTACAGTGGTTCAGATGGTTAAGAATCCGCCTGCAATGTGAGAGACTTGGGGTCAGTCCCTGGGTTGAGAAGATCCCCTGGAGAAGGGAATGGCAATCTACTCCAGTATTCTTGCCTGGAAAATCCCATGGATAAAGGAGCCTGTCAGGCTCCATGGATTTGCAAAGAATCAGACACAACTGAGCGATTTTCACTTTTGGTAGTGGACCCTTTTATTCCAATATTTAAAGCAGGTAGACAGTATGTGTTTCATAGACCACAAAACAGGCTGTTTTAGTTAGCATAAAGTTTGTTAAATAAGCCAGAGTGACTTCTTTTTACTTTAGTATGTGAAAATTTCTTCAATCATCATCTCTCAGACTTTGGGCTTTTAGTTTACTTATGGTATCTTTTGAAGTACAGGTATTTAAAATTTTAGTCTGGTTAAATTTGTCTATTTTTCCCCTTTTTTGGTTCCCTTTTTTTGTGTGCTTCCCTACATCCAGATTATAAAGAATTCTCCTATATTTTCATCTGAAAATTTTAAAGTATCGCTTTTTCACATTTAGGTCTACATTCCATTTGGAGTTAAATTTTCTTTGTTGTGTAGTATGAAAATCTAGGGTTTTCTCCAGCTCTCAACTTTTTTGTTAGTACGTCCTTTTCCTGGTGAGTTGTAATGCCAAGTTCCAATTTATACTTGGATTTGTTTCCGGGCATGCTCGTCTTTTATTGGTTGGTTTTCCTTTTCCCCCATTCCTGCTGCACTGCCGTAGGGTGTCTAATTACTGTCGCCTTGTAAGCGCTCGAGGGCTTTCTGTGGTTGTGGTATGGAGGCTTCTCCTTGCAGTAGCTTTCTTGTTGCAGAGCCTGGTCTCCAGGGTGTGTGGGCTCGGTAGTTGGGGCGCACGGGCTTAGTTGCCCCATGGCGTGGTTGTGGAATCCTTCCAGACCAGGGATTGAACCCCTGTCCCCTGCACTGGCAGGCGGATTCTCAACCTCTGGACTTCCAGGGTAGCCCAGCTACTCTTCTTCAAAATTATCTTGGCTTACTCTATGAGTCAGTTGAGAAATTTGAACCAAATCAGGAGAACTTGAATATGAACTAGTTATTACATGCTGTATGACATTATTATTAATTTTATTAGGAAGGAGAATGGCCTTATGGGTATATAAGAAAATGTCCATGTTTTAGAGATGCCTGTTGAAGTATATAGGGATGAATAATATGAAGTCCAACTACAACATAAAAAAAATGTATGTTGTAGCCAACAAAAAAAAGAGAATGGATGAAGTAAATATGGCAAAATATTGGTAATTATTGAATCTGAGTGATGATATAGATGGCTTCATGAAACTAGTCTATTACATTTCTTAAACACAGTAAAAAATAATGTTTTAAGTTATCTGTTCTTAGCTCCTTACTTTTCTGTATAAAGTTTAGAATCCGTTTGTCAGTGTCCATGAAAAATGCTGTTGTACTTTACATCTAGTTTCATTAAAGAGAATTGATGTATTTACGATATTGAATCTTTCTATCCATGAACATACTGTCTGTGTTTATTTTGATCACATTTCTTGAACATGTTTTAAGAGTTTTATAATGTTCTGGGAAAGCTTCATACATCTCTGGTTGGCTTTGATTCCTACGAGCCTTATATTTTTTGGTGCTATAATAAATAGCCTGTGGAAGTGTTAGTTGCTCAGTTGTATCCGACTCTTTTCGACCCCATGGACTGTAGCCCAGCAGGCTCCTCTGTCCGTGGGATTCTCCAGGCAAGAATACTGGAGTGGATTGCCATTCCCCTCTCCAGGGGATCTTCCTGACCCAGGAATTGAACCTGGGTCTCCTGCGTAGCTAGCAGATTCTTTACGTCTGAGCCACCAGGGACGCCCAAGATAAAATAAATAGCCTACCTTTAAGGTGAAAGCTGTTTGTGGCATATAGGTGGGGTATTTTAAACAGTGAAACAGCTGATCTTCTGGAGTAGGATTTTTTTTTTTTCCTATTCTTGGCTACACTGTCATTGCATAAAGTAGTAAGCTCTTGTTCTTTAATTTAGTAGTCGGGTTTGTGTGAGACTGAGCCTGTTAATGCGGTCCAGTGTGCTTGTACCCAGTAGCAGGAGTTGAACCGTTTTCTGTATCCATCACAGTCTGTAATTTTCCTTCTTGGAAAATGTGGCCCTGGGAGCATATTGTTGGGCATAGTAAGCATGTTTCTTATGTTACATATTTCCTCCCAAGTAGTCTAACTTGAAGTGCTTCTCTTGTTTACTGGGCTTCCCTGGTGACTCAGTCAGTAACGAATCTGCCTGCAATGCAGGAGACCTGGGTTCAGTCCCTGAGTCGGGAAGATCCCCTGGAGAAGGAAATGGCAACCCACTCCAGTATTCTTGCCTGGAAGATTCCATGGACAGAGGAGTTTGGTGGGCTACAGTTCATGGGGTCACAAGAGTCAGATACTGACTTAGCGACTAAACTACCACCACCCACCTAGATCATCTCCCTAAGTTCTGTATCCATCACAATCTCTAATTTTTCTTCTTGGAAAATGTGGCCCCTGGGAGTATATTATTGGGCATATTAAGTGTGTTATTGTATATGTTACATATTTCCTCCCAAGTAGTCTAACTTGAAGTGCTTCTTTTGTTTATTAGCTTGTATGCATTTAATTTATTCCATATTTAATCTTACAACGTTGTGTAATTCAAAACTTACGGGGAAAGGAATGATAGGTACTTGATCCTTTCTTATATTGTTAATTTTGCCTTTCTGATTCATGATTCCTGCTCCCTCCTTGCCTGCTAGTACTAGCTACGTATAAGTATGTATTTTTGCTTTAAGCATTTGAAGTGTTTATATATCACACATTTGTCTAAATAGTTTAACACATTTTTATTGTGTTTGTTTTTTCCTCTACCAGATCAAACTTGGACATAGATCAGAAGCTAAAGATGGTAAGTAACTTATTTCATGTAATCTGACAGAACAGAAAAAGTGGTTCTTCTCACTCAGGAAAGAACAAAGTATTAATTACAGTTAACAGTGGTTCTGGGTAGAGTTATTACAGGTCCCAGAAGAGTAACAATAGACTCAGGATAGAGATAGTATGTTTGTACTTTTTACCATTTGGGTGTTCAGAAGATATTCAGATCACCCAAGTAGATGGAAGACAGCAAGGTTATTAGTGACTTGTCTTGATGTCTTCATTACTGTTTTAGTTGTTTTCAAGCCATTGTTTTTTGTTCTGAGCTTCTAGTTACTTTGAAAATTCAGGATTCATGGAAGTATATACAAAGCTCACTATAGAATAAATGTGTAGGGATGGGGGAGATTTTTGTATCCCTTCTGCTAAAGCTCTGTTTGAGCACTAAGTCCTATTTAATCATCAAGAAATAGTTTCTGTATAAAGGATACATCATCTCTCTAATACTAGTACCAGATCTTTTTTCCCCCTTTTTTTTTTTTTTTTAGTATTTATTTATTTGGCTACACTGGGTCTTAATTGCAGCACACTGGATCTTTGATCTTCATTGTGACATGCAGGACCTTTTAGTTGTGAGAAGGAAGCTCTTAACTGGGGACATGTGGGATCTAGTGTCCTGACCAGGGGTCAAACCTGGGCCCCTTGCGTTGGGAAAGATGGTATCTAATCACTAGTTTTCTGTTAGCTTAAAGAATCTGCCTCTAAAAAAAAAAAAAAAAAAAGAATCTGCCTCTAATATTCATAAGGCAAGAGAAGAGAAGCTATTAACTTCTCACCTATAGGCTACATACTTGGGTACATATTTTTCCAGGAGTCTTCAGGTCTCATATTCTATATATGAAGTGAATACTTGTTTCATCATTTATCATAGTCTGTCCTAAACTGTTTTAAAAACAAAGCAATATAAATTGGAAACAGGTACGTTATAAAAATTGTTTTTTTTTTTTTTCTGAGGAATATTCATTGCTATTTCATCAGAGACTGACCTTTCCCAAAAAATATATTTATAAGAAGGTTTGAGATTTCAGAATTCTTTTTCACTTTTTTCTTTGCCTTTTTATCTAGGTATAAATAGAACAGCCTTAAGAGAGATAAAATTATTACAGGAGCTAAGTCATCCAAATATAATTGGTGTGAGTATGATCTAAGTTGTTTCTGGGACTTGGGACCCTGCCTTGCCGAATGTGGTGGATGTTGATTGAAGGCTCAGCAAGATGAGTTGTCCTAGGTGAGCCTTACAAAAAGGCTGAAATGCATTTTTTTATCCTAATTGTTCTTATAGGCAGTGTTTTAAAAACTATACAACTGATGAAATAAATTAAGTGTGGGCATACAGGCTGATTTTATCAGAAATTTTGGAGTCTAGAGAGCTCTAGCATGTGTAAGACCTTGAGCAGGTTCCCTTGAACTCTACCTCGTAGTCTCTACCTCACAGGGTTGTTATGAGACTAGCTCACTGAATACACATCAAGTAATGGTAACCCACTCCAGTATTCTTGCCTGGAGAATCCCATGGACAGAGGAACCTGGTGGGCTGCAGGCCATGGGGTCGCAAAGAGCCCGATACGACTGAGCAGCTAACACCTGCTTACCTGGGATAGTACCTGGCGTAGGGAGCACACTCATTCAGTGAAAATAGCTACTGCTGCTGTTTGTTGGATTTTCTTAAGTACCAAGGTTGGGAATTTTTCTAGATTATAGAGACTTCAGTGAGGTTCTCATTAATTCATTACTTAATTCCTAAAATTTGGAGGGAGAGGTTCAGTATTGGTGATTTTTTTTTTTTTTTAATAGTAAGGCGTAATATCTTGTGCTTCAGTGTACTAAATCCTAGCCAAAAATGGAAAAATATTAAATTTAATAAAATTATTTAAACTTTACAGTCCAAATGCTTAAGTTTTTAAAGATTAAAAACTTAGGTATAATACTGTCAAGTATTTAATAAGAGAATCACATGTTGGTTTTTTTTTAAATTTTGCTTTGTAGCTCCTTGATGCTTTTGGACATAAATCTAACATTAGCCTTGTCTTTGATTTTATGGAAACTGATCTAGAGGTAAGACTAAGATTTCTGGAGGAATTTATTTTCCTGTTTATCAAAAGAGAATCTAAATGTTTATTTTCTACCTTCGAAGAAGATGGTCAAAAGAATGCTTAAATTTTGTTGAAATCTAGATGTGGTCTTAAGTCAAAGATCTTCTGAATCATTTAGCCATAATCCCAGTGTTACACACAAGATTTGGATTTCGATAACATTTGTGTCTGCCAAGTTCCTGATACCTTATTGACATTACTTTTTAGAAAAATGAGTGTTTGGCTTTGGAGGGTTTGGAACTTCCTTGTGGTATTATCACAGACTATCCTTTTGAAAACCAAATTTCTTTTTGAGAAGAGTAAGATTTTAAGCTTTTCATTAATACTAATTGAATCTCAATAATGAACAGTCTGGAGATGTGGAATAAGTGAAATTCTCATACACTGCTGATGAGAATGCAAAGTGATACAGCCACTTTGGAAAAAACAGTTTGGCAGTTTCTTACACAGTTTAAATATACCCTTAGGGTATGATCTAGAAATATGTCTACGTATTTATTTATCCAAGAGAAACAAAAACATGTCCACACAGATGTTTAGCTTTCTTCATAATTACCCAAACTGAAAACAACCCATATATCTCTCATCAAGAGAATGTATAAACAAACTGGTACATTTATGAAGTGGAATACTATTTGAGAATAAAAAGAAACAAACTATTAACACATGCCACAGTATAGGTGACTCTCAGATACATTATACTAAAGGAAAGAAGCCAGGCTCAAAAGCTGTATGGTTCTATGTATGTTTTTTTGTAAAACGAAAAACGAAAAAAAAAAAAAAACTAAAGGAACAGAGATGAGATCTTTGGTTGCTGGGGTTAGGAATCGAGGGGAAGGTTAAGTAGAGAGGGGCCTGGGGGAATTGTAAAACTATTTTGGTTGTGGTAGTGGTTACACAACTGATGTGTTAAAAACTGAGCTTAAAAGTGAAACCTATTTGAAAAAAAGAGAATTGCATTTTAAGCTTATATAACTGAAAGTCTGGGAATAAACTGACTTGAATCATAGTTCACAAATCGTGCTAGCAGAAGACAATTTTTCACTTGTTCTCTGTTGCCTTGTTCACAGGTAAAATTTCTCAATACAGTGACTCAGGTGCTTGTATGCTTCTATCTTAGAGTTTAATAATCCCTGAGGAGAGGAAGTATTTTGTTGCCTTTGATTCTAGCACAAGTATTTGGCTTGGCTTCCATCCCTGAACTAGTCTGGAAAGGAGGCCGTAGTGTGGTGACTGAGCATGCTGGCTCATGTGTCTACTGCCTCTGGAGGCCACAGGTAGTGCAGTCTTTAAACACGTGGACTACGCTGGGAACCAGTGGTTTCCCAGAGGAATGTTGAATGCTGTTATCAGGAGGGGTTGTGTATCCTGGGGCAAGTAGAAACAGCAGATGTTTGCTACATGGATGCCTAAAAACAAAGCAGCAGGAGACAAAGTACTGCTTTCCTTCTAAACTAAAGATACTTTCCCTAACCACATTTCTGACTGTGCTTCCTAAGGAGAGTTAGGCAACCTCTCTTGAGAATCTCCTTTATGAATAAATCCATCTTGTGTCTGTAAATGATTTGATATAGTAGAGTTTATTTGGAATGATAAAAGCATACCTGTATACTGTCTGCCTACTTTACAGGTTATAATAAAGGATAACAGTCTTGTGCTAACACCTTCTCATATCAAAGCCTATATGTTGATGACTCTTCAAGGATTAGAATATTTACATCAACATTGGATTCTGCATAGGGTAAGGTTTTTTAACCAAATATGCTTGCGTCTTTATGTTGTAGTAAGATTTTCTGTAGCCAGTTTATTACACAAAAGATCTGAGTATGTAAATTATTAAAGTAGACCTGGACCGCTTTATCCACCCTTCTTCCTCTCTGATATCCCTTCAGTTAAACCAGGTGGCACTGTGAGAACTCTGTTACTAGGTGGAATTTAGAAATGCAAGAGGCCTATTCCTTCATTTTTTTCGTAATTGAAGAGTTGAGTTGTTGACCCAAAAGTTACTTATTTTTTTTTGAGGTCATTAGTTATAGTGGCTGACAAGAGTATTAGAACCTAGATATTTTGGCTTGAAGTTCAGTGTTCTTTGTGCTATACTGTTGTAATAGAAAACAACAACGGTGGGAGTCTGGATTAAATTATATAATGCAAAAATACTTCTTGAAAAATATTTCTGGTAGCTCTAAAACTCTGGGAAGTAATGAAGTAAAATTTCTGAAATGGCTGAGTCATTGTTAGGAACATTTAGCTACTAGAACAAGGCTGATGATTTAGATAGGTAGATGTTCTTAGGCATCCTATTTATTAGTAGATAAAGTAGCTAAAAATATATAATGGTAATCCTCATACTTAAGCTTGGAATTCCTTTTAGGTTATGGCTAATATCTTTTTAGCATAGATTGTAAAGACTATATTCTTCATCATTTATAAACACATAATGTTTTTATGTGTTGGTGGCACTACTGGTAAAGAACCCATCTGCCAGTGCAGGAGACACCAGAGACGTGGGTTCAGTCCCTGGGTTGGGAAGATCCTCTGGAGGAGGAAATGGCAACCCACTCCAGTCTTCTTGCCTCGAAAATCTTATGGACAGAGGAGCCTGGTGGGCTACAGTCCAGGAGGCAACAGAGAGTCAGATACGACTGAGCACACCCATGATACAATCCTCATATTTAAGGTTGGAATTCCTTTTAGGTCATGGCTAATAGCTTTTTAGCATAGATTGTGAAGACTATATTCTTCATCCTTTATAACCGCATAATGTTTTTATTTACTGAAGTTCATATATTGTGGTGTTTACTGTTTTGGGCCTCACGGCTTGTGGGATCTTAGTTCCCCATCCGGGGATCGAACCGGGGCTCTCAACAGTGGCACACAGAGTCCTAACCACTGGACCACCAGGGGGTTCCCCATATATATTGTTGTTAAATTAATAGCAGCAGCTGTTTTTTGAATGCTTACAAGGAACCAGTCATTACACTAGGCTTTTTGCAGGAAATATTAAATTTAATCCTCACAGCAAACCTGTGAAGTAGGTAAATTGAAGTTCAGTGAAAGGAGTACCTTGATCCAAGGCCTCACTAAGAAATATGGCTAATCTTATTTTGCTTTTTAGAATTTTATATCAATTAAAAAAATTTTGGTGGTGGTTAAATTTGAGGTGTTACCCTGTTTCTGCTAAGTTTAAATTTAACTAAATGTATTACTATGATGCTCTCCTCTACCCTGCTTATTTGTTGGTTTAAAATCTCCATTATATAGGACCTAAAACCAAACAACTTGTTGCTAGATGAAAACGGAGTTCTAAAACTGGCCGATTTTGGCCTGGCCAAATCATTTGGGAGCCCCAGTAGAGCTTATACACATCAGGTTGTAACCAGGTAAGGATTCCTTAACTAACTAAAGCTTATATTGTGTAGGATATTAATCACAAATGAGCCTCATGTGGCTTCTTTGAATTTTGGCTGAGTTCAGGAGTTAATGTTGGTATCTTATTAAACAGTGAAAAAATATACAGCCCTTCTTTCAAACGGAGTTGAATTAATTCAGTCCCCAGAGATTTACTTAGTAATTTGGGGGACTAACTTATACTTCTTATACAGTTTAGTTAGGTAGATTGGAACTATAATGGCTGTTCTTTTACATAACCACCTGAATTGGGGGGGCCTGTGTTTATTTTATTGGTCAATCCTGATTCCACATTTTATATCATTCAGTGTGAATGAAAATTCCCTAAACAAAGCAGTGCTTTTATTTGGATTTTTCATATTATTCATTGCTTATAGTTTCTGTTTATGCATAAAAATTATAAACAAAATAAAAACTAAAAATCACATTATATAGATAGGGACATAGATTTTATAATTCTTGTACAGATGGCATTTGTTAACTTCCCTGACTCTTAGGAATCTGAGACGATCTTCAGATTTTCTGTCCTTTTAAATTAGTTTGTCAGCTTCTTCCAAATAGATCTCATTGAGCGTCAATCACCTGATCCTTGAGTATAAAGTAAGGGATGTAAGTAGTTCAGGTAATTTCTGGAAAAATTAAGCCCGTCGTTCAGGAACTGTGGGAACTCAGGAAAACAAGGACCCACATACATGAGCATTGCTTTTCATCTACCAATTTCTGACTTTCTCTATTTTGAAATCAGACACTACTAATAGGTCAAATTAAAATGACTGAGAATTAACAATTGATAACCTTGATAACCTATCAAGATATTTTGGTGGAGTGGTGGGGTGAAAACCTGACTGATGGAGTTAAGAGAAGGGGAAATGGAGACAGTGAGAACATACAGCCGGAGAGAGAGGGTTGTGAGGGGAAGCAGGGTCCAGAGGTTTTTGTTGTTTGTTTCTTTGTTTTTTAGTTTATTTTTTAAGGCTATAAAAACAATGGTATGTTTAACATTGATAGTAATAGATCCAGTAAAGAACAAAAAGCTGGCTGTTGTAGGAAAAAGAGAATTGCAGGAGCAATATCCTTGGAAACAGGCAAGAGTGTTGTATCCTGTGCCCAAGTTGAGGGACTGACTTTAAAAACACTTAAGGCTACTTATGTAGTTACAGATGGGAAGGTGGGTTTGTGAGTGTGCAGATGACTGTTGGTGAGTCTGTAGAAATTTTTTTTCATTACTTGCATTATTTTAGTGAAGTAGGAATTAGGTTATCAGCTAAGAAGTAGGATGGTGTTTAGGGTTTTGGGAGAAAGAACATGTTAATTGTCTGAGAGTGAGAGAATGGATGGACTGAGGGTGAATTTCCTGGCAGCAGTAAGGAACTTCTTGGTTTTATAGCCAATGTTTCTTGAGTTAATATATCCATAAAAGTGCATTTCATCAGTGCAGGACGTTTTTCTGAGGAGTTTTCTCTAAGAAATACTCCGACGACCCCACTCTAGAATGGCAGTGTTTATTTTCGTTCTCCAGGTGGTATCGGGCCCCTGAGCTGCTGTTCGGAGCTCGAATGTACGGTGTAGGTGTGGACATGTGGGCCGTGGGCTGTATATTAGCAGAGTTGCTTCTGAGGGTAAGTCTTGAGTTGATGTACACTATTCAGTATTGTTATAGGTGTTTGTTTTTATAATCTGTGTAAAAATTATCTTCTCAGAGGTAATTCCCAGAGGTAATTACCGTCCTTGAAACAAGAAACCAACAAACAGGCCAATAAAAAAAAACCCCACCAAGTACAGCCTGTTTATTAACACCATTTAGGACAATAAAGGTTTATTATTGCTCATTCTGTGTTCTGAAATTCAACCGTAATAAAATTGTTGGATTGTAACGTGGTACTATCTCTAAAGTAACTAAACGGGTTAGGATAAACGTCTGTATTTCTGGGATCACTGGGGAAGTCCCACCCTTAGACTAAGTTTTTATTTTTGTTACTGTTTAATGTTTCTTATTAAATTTATCATATTATTTGTGTAATAGCTATCACAGATCATCTTGAAATATCTGCTTCTTTCTTTTAGGTTCCTTTTTTGCCAGGAGATTCAGACCTTGATCAACTAACAAGAATATTTGAAACTTTGGGCACACCAACTGAAGAGCAGTGGCCTGTAAGCTTTCATACATGTTCTTTGAAATTTAGAGTAGTGTATAGTGCTGTAACATGAATATTACTTAAACAAATGTATTAACTGTTAATTTACTTTGCAAAATTTATACAAAGTAAAAGTTAAAGTTGTGATATACCATCCAGCCTCCTACATACACATAGCCCTCACTCATCCCAGTAATTTCTACCCCAGCGTTAATCAGTATTATTTTGCTGTAAAGTTTTGCTATAAGGACACACACATATAAATATGTAAATATGTATGGTTTGCTTTTTCTTTCGTTCTTTAACAAAAATGCCATCACACCATGTAATTTTTTTGCAACAAACTTGCTCATAATATTGTTCACATTTTCCTTTTTAAGTTATATAATATTTCATTTTCTGGCTGTTTCATGTTTATCAACGTCTTGATGGATTTATTTATTGCATTTTCACTAACACAGTGAAGGTTTATTTTTGGTTTTGTTTTTCATTATTCCCCAACCAGGGATTGAACTTGGAGAAAGCCTGGAATCCCAGGCCACCAGGGAACTCATTTATTTTTAACCTATTACATTATCTCAAAAAAATTACTAAATCTCTGATAAAATTTATTACAGTGTAAGTTGCTAATTTTATATATTACAGTTCAGTGAAATTTTCACTGTTATAATTGTAGACCTTTTGATTTTCCTTTCTGTTATAGCCTCATCTCCTGGGGAAAAAATAAATCCTAGAAAAGAGATTTTAATCAGCCTCTTTACCTTCTAGTTAAAACTGTAATGAAATTATCTGAAACTGAAATTAAGAAGTTTCTTTTGTGTTATTATTTCTTCAACTTTCTAACTGAAGGTTAGCTATAAGTTCTAATTGTAAAACATGCTCTAACAGCATTCGTTTATTGAACTTACTATATGCTGTTATTGATAGGGTTTCATAAATTATATTTAATTCTCCCAACAATCCTATTAAGGTAGGTGCTGTTAGTCACACTTTATAGATGAGATAGCCGAGGTGGCGTGAGGTTAAGTAGCTTACCCGAAGCTACCTAGTGTCAGCTAGGACTCCAGTTTGGGTCTTTCTGACTCCAGAGCCATATTCATAGTATTTATCCAGTACTTTTCATTTGACATCATTTTCTAAATAGTAGTTGCTTATGATGTTTTCCTTGGATTTTTAAAAATTCTTGTTTTGATTTACATGCAGAAGGAAATAATACAGAGGTATCCCTTACTTCCTTTACTCAGCTTCTCACAAGGGTAGCATCTTGCAAAATCAGGATAATATCACAGCCAGCATGCAGACATTGATATACTTAGTATACAGGACATCACCACAAAGAGCCCTTTTACTGTCACACCCACTTTCCTTCCACTCTCACCCATTCCTTAACCCCTGGCAATCACTAATATGATTTTTTATAACTTTGTCATTTCAAGAATATTATAAGTGGGATCATATAAAATGTAAGCTTTTGGAATTGACTTTTTTCAATATAATTCTCTGGAGATTCATCCAAGTTGTCAATAATTCATTCCTTTCCGTATATTGCTAAGTGGTCTGAATGTACCATAGTTTGTCTGACTGTTGACTCATTGAAGGACATCTGCATTGTTTCCAGTTTGGGGCTATTACAAATAACACTGTTATTTGTAATAACAGTACATCATGGCTTCCCTGATAGCCCAGTTGGTAAAGAATCTGCCTGCAATGCCGGAGACCCCTGTGCAATTCCTGGGTAGGGAAGATCTGCTGGAGAAGAGATAGGCTACCCACTCCAGCATTCTTGGGCTTCCCTTCCCTTGTGGCTCAGCTGGTAAAGAATCTACCTGCAATGCGGGACACCTAGGTTGGGAAGATCCTCTGGAGAAGGGAATGGCTACTGACTCCAGTATTTCTGGCCTGGAGAATTCCATGGACTGTATAGTCCTTGGGGTTGCAAAGAGTCGGACACAGTTGAGTGACTTTCACTTTCAGGTCCGAAGGCAGTCCGGTGGTTAGAACTCTATTCCTCTTGCCAAAGGCCCAGTTTCCATCCCTAGGGAACTTGGATCCCACAAGCTACGTGGCCAAAGGAAAAAAAAAATCATGTACAGGCTTTTAGGTAAGCATACATCTTTATTTCTCTGGGACAAATGACCAGGAGTGCAGTTGTTAAGTTGTGATAGTTGCATATTTAGCCAGAAACTGCCAAAAAGAAAGTGAAAGTCGATTAGTCTTGTCTGACTCTTTGCAGTCCTGTGGACTGTAACCTGCCAGGCTCCTCTGTCCATGGAATTCTCCAGGCAAGAGTACTGAAGTGGGTTGCCATTTCCTTCTCTAGGGGATCTTACCAGCCCAGGGATCAAACACAAGTCTGCTGTATTGAAGGCAGATTCTTTACCATTTGAGCCACCAGGGAAGCCCAGAAACTGCCAAACTGCTTTCCAGAGGGGCCTGTACTATTTTATATTCTCACCAGCAATGTAGAAATAATCCATTTTCTCTGCATCCTCACTAGCATTTGGTGGTGTTGCTTTTTTTTTTTTAAGCATTGTGAGAGATGTGTAGTAATAGCTGATTGTGACTTTAAATTTCTCTTCCCTGATGACTTACGGTGTTGAATATCTTTTCATGTACTTATTTGGCATCTATATAGCTTTAATGAAATGTCTCTTGTCTTGTTTTTTAATTGGGTCATTTGTACTTTGGCTGAGTATTGAGCACTTACATAAAGTACTCGTCCTCTGATTGTATATGTGGTTTGCAAATTTTCTGTTACTCTGTAGTTTGTCTTTTCATCCTCTTCACAGAGTCTTCCCAGCGTAAACGTTTTTAATTTTGATCAAGTCTGTCTTATCAGTTTTTCTTTTTATGAATAATGCTTTTGATGGCAAGTCAAAGAACTCTTTGCCTAACACAAAGATATTCCTGATGATTTTCTCTTTTTTTCTTCCTAAAAGTTTTATAGTTTCGCATTTAAGTCTGTGATCCATTTTGAGTTAATTTTTACATGAGATGTGAGACTAAAAGTGTCTTATGGCAGGAGTGGGGGTTGTTTATGATACCTCTCCCCCTACCAGTACCACAGTCTTCATAAATTGTCTATGTATTAAGTCTTTTTCCAAGTTGTTTTAACTATTTTAACTTTGCATATAAATTTTAGAATAGCCTATCTATCTAATAATCTTGCCAGAATTTTGGTAAGAATTGCATTAAACCTGTTTACCAACTTGAGGAGAATTGTCAGACATCCTTACAGTGCTGAATCTTCCAGTCCACAAACATTGTAGGGCTCACCGTTTATTTAGAGCTTTGATTTATTTCTTCAGTGTAGTATAGCTTTCAGTATACGAGTCCTGCACACGTTTTGTTAGATTTTCACCAAAGCATTTCATCGTTGTTTTTGAGAGTTTCTAAAGGGCATTGTTTTTCATTTCAGTATCCACATGTTCTTTGCTAATATGGAGAACTAAAGTTGACTTGTGTTTATCTTCCTATAACCTTGTCTGCTCACTAGTGCTAGGATAGATCATCATATCATCGGTATGACAGTTTTATTTACTCATTTGAGATCTATATGCCTTTCAATCTTTACTTAAGTTTGAATTATAAAAATATTTTTACAGGACATGTGTAGTCTTCCAGATTTCGTGACATTTAAGAGTTTTCCTGGAATTCCATTACAACATATCTTCATTGCAGCAGGAGATGACTTGCTAGATCTTATACAAGGCTTATTCTTATTTAATCCCTGTACTCGAATCACGGCCACACAGGTATGTTAGTGTATTTTTCGAATTTCTTAAGATTTCCTAACATTCTTTCAATACTGAAAAGATACGTTTGTTTTAAGAAATAACAAATTTTATTTTTTTCTCTAAGCTATAAGCACTATATGCCCATACAAGTGCAGAAGAGTATAAAGATGATTCTATTTCATAATTAGGTCATCAACTTGAAAGTAAATTAGAGAAGAAGAAAAAAATGATGTTTTGTGTTTATTAAGACACTGGACTATTTCAGTTAAACTCTTAAGTAACTTAAATCTTGTGCCAAAACCAATGCCAGAAGTGTTTTGTTTTGTGTTTTCCCCCATGAAATGCAGTCCAGATAATGCATTCTGGTCATTGTCACAGTCAGGAAGAGATAATGAGTAGAAAATGGTATGGTCTGATACAACTTTATTACGAGAGATTGAAAGATCCTCTAAATAGAAAAACACTGAAACTGACAGTTACTTAAGGGAAATAAGAATCAAACTCAAGAAAAATGTGGAATACCAAGAATATCTGCTCTTATAAAAGAAGAAATGTTATCCAACATAAAAATACAAGATCTATAAACTTGAAAGTCTTTTTTTTCTTTATTTTAAGAACAAGCACATATAGATAGACGGTAGTCACTAACGCTTAAAGTTGGGGCAGGGAAATGCAGTTCCAAAATGCAACACATTACAGTAATTGGGCTTCATAAAGGAAGAGACTAAAATGTCGCACATCTTCATGTCTGACGAAACATATAAATGCACAAAATATCAGGGGTAAAAAGTGGATTTTTTTTCACAAGGCTATTATAGACTACCAGATCTTTGTTTAATGTATTTACTTTTATAAACCTTTACTTCATAGCAGTATATGCCACATTAATACATATATACTATTTACCATTGGAATCACTCTTCTAATTTCAAACAAGTAACTCATTTTTACCTTTTTATCCGTGTATGTATACATCTTATCTCTGTCATAAGAACCTTGAGACCAGGTCAAATTGTCAAGAAGGTTGTTTTCATTACTATTAAAGCTGAAAATTTATAGAAAGATATTAGTTGTGATAACTTACTTGGGTTATATTTTGATAAAATTAATTTTTTTTAGAATTAATTTTTTAATGGGTTTTGGCCTATGGATATTTAGAAGTTGGAATGAGGGACTTCCTCGAGGGTCTAGTGGCTAAGACCTTGTGTTCCCAATACAGGAAGCCCGAGTTCGATCCCTGGTGAGGGATCTAGATCCCACATGCCGCAACTAAGAGTTTTCATGCCACAGCTAAAGACCCCGCATGTTGCAACACAGACCTGGCACAGCCAAATAAATAAACATTTAAAAAACATAGAAGTTGAATGAGATACCCTTCTTAGATCTCTATGTAGCTCAAAATTAGCATAATTTACTTATGGAACTGCTGTGATTTGGAAGTAATATTTTATAAGTTCAACTCTTCTGAAGTAAGAATTCTCTATCTAAATTATTACTGCAAATAATATGTTGGCGAGTAGGGAGAGTTGGTTGAAAAGTTTATATGACTTCTTTTGTTCCTAAGAGAGTTATCCAAAAGAACATACCTTAAATTATTGCGGCTATTGAACAGTAGTACTATGATGCAAATAAAGTATGAACTTGACAACTTTGTCACCTCGAATAAAACTATTTTTATTGGCATTTTGGACCTAGGTAAAAATATAATATTATAGAACGTTGGACTAGTGGTAAATAGAAATAAACTTGGCAAGTCCTTCCAAGTAAGAATTCAGTTAATTTCTAGTGGATTGTTCGACTTTAATCTGTTGTTTCCAACCTATCGCATCTTTTTAAAAGCTTTATTTTTAAGAATTCATATGATTTGGAATTTGAGCACACACAAATGTTGTGACAAATAAACTTTGAAGTTGTTTTTAAGCAGGTTTCTCTGTTTTCAGCTATAGAGCCTATAATGTGTAGAGAGATGAATTTTACAGTGTCTTACTAAGGATTTTTCATATTTTATATAGGCTTTCGTGGGAAAATTCCATTCTTATAGTAATACAGTAATGGAATTAGCAATCAATCTTAGGCTGCTAGATATTTGTAGTAATTTCCATATCCAAATACTCAAGTTTGTTTGAGAGAGGGTATATTTGCTTAGTATATGTAATGCTCCTTATAACACAGTTCAGATATTCACATAAAAGCTCACTTTCTCTGGTCTCTTTTCTTTGGAAAGGCGTTGAAAACTAAGTATTTCAGTAATCGGCCAGGGCCAACACCTGGATGTCAGCTGCCAAGACCAAACTGTCCAGCAGAGGCTCTAAAGGAGCAGTCCAATCCAGCCATGGCAACAAAACGGAAGAGAACAGAGGCCTTGGAACAAGGTAAAACTCTCATTTTCTTAAGTGAAATGAATTCAGAAAACTCCAAACTCCAGATAGCTAATGTATAGCTAGTGACTGGGCAGCTAAGAAATGTAGACTGTGAGCTGTTTACTTGTTATCAATTTAAATTTTATAAAGTAGAATATGATATTTTACCTATATTTGCTTTAGAATACATATCATCATGCATACTTAACATCATACTTTTTTTTAGGACATGGGCAGTTTTGAGTACTCCTCAGAGTTATGAGAACTATCCATGTGTACCCTATTTTTTTCATAAATTCCTAACAGTACACTCTGTGCTTAATGTTTAGCAAGTGTTATTGGAAAATCAAAGCAAGTAAAAATATAGATGGAATGCAATGACTGGTTAGAATTACTTTAAAATTAAATGTAGTGTTATAGAATTACTATAAAATTAAACAACCTCATTTTCCCCCCAGGAGGATTACCCAAGAAGCTAATTTTTTAGCTACAGAGAAAACTGGACAATATTCTACTACTGAAGGAAACAGTGGAAAAGGCACAATAGTAAACATAAAGTAAATGCTTTAAAAGATATTTGTAAATATTCTACACATGTAAAATATGTAAAACTGGATTATTTTTATTAAATGTATTTTAAAACAAATTTAATTCTGATCTTCTGATTAAGAGTGCAGTAGTAATAAAATAAGTTTAATTCTCTGACATGCAGAATTGAAAATGCATTAAGGAATCCTTAATAAAAATAATTATCAATTACTTTAATGATCTGGCCCATATAGCATTACAAATTTATAATAAAGGGGGTAGTATTTAAAAATAGAAAATTGGTTTTGGTCTCAGAATTTTATGAGTGGTATGTAGACTGTAACTCTCATAGAGCATTTTTATTTTTACTCAGAACTTTTAAGTTTCTTCTATGTTAATACCTGTAAATCTAGTTTCTGTTTTAGCTGCCAGATAATTTATAGCATATATCACATCTTATGATATCATATCATATCTTACACATGCTCTATATATAGACCATGTTATTTTTCTTTTACTACATAAAAGTTACCATAAATGTAGCCGTTTAAAGTAACACAAATTTATTAAGCTTCCAGCCCTGTAGGTCAGATACCTCTCATCAATCAACTGTGATTTTTGTTTGTTTGTTTCTTTTGCATAAGCCAACATCAGGATGTCAGTTGGACTTTGCGCTCTTATCTGAGGCTCTAAGGTAGAACCTGCTTCCTAATTAATACAGTTCATATCGTTTTAATGCACATGCCTCCTATCCTTGCTTTGTTACATGTCACTCCATCTGCAAACCAGCAACAGTGTCAAATCTGTGGCTTCCTCATCTGCTGCCAATAGAGAAGATTCTTTTTTTTTAAGGACTCACCTCATAAACTAATGTCAGCTCACCAAAGACTTAATTATAAGTCTTAAAATTCCCTTCATAGCAGTTCCTAGATTGAATGCTTGAATAATCAGGACAAGAATCTTGAGAGGGCCATCTTTAGAATTCTGTCACGTGGACATTAAGGTTATTTAAATTTTTTCACAGTTGCTAAAAAAAAATGTTTATATGTACATGCAGGAGTTGTACATATTTAGAATTGTAATTGTAACAGTTACACAGTTGTATATTTTCAAGTAGCATTGATATTGCCATACTTCTCCAAAGTAGCTGTATCAATTTACACTCCCAGTAACTGTTCAGTAGTTCTTAAAAATGGAAAAGCCCCTTACCATACACTATATACAAAAGTTAACTCTGGGAATTCTCTATGGTCCAGTGGTTAAGACTCTGCTTTCACTTCCAAGGGCACAGATTCAATCATTGGTTGGGGAACTAAGATCCTGAAAGCCACAGGCTGCAACTGAAAAAAAAAATCAAACATGAGACCTAGAACTATAAAGATTATTAGAAAATAACATAGGAGGAAAGCTTCATGACATCAGGTTTGACAGGGGCTTCCTGGATATGACCCCAAAAGCACAGGCAACAAAAGTAAAAAAAAAGGACAGTTTGGACTGTATCAAAATTAAACACTTGTGTGCCTCAAAGGAACATGATCAATGGAATGAAAAGGCAACTCCTATGGATTGAAAATATTTGCAAATCATGTATCTGATAAGGTTCATAGCCAGAATATGTGAAGAATATATGTTTTGTTATTGTGTATGCTCAGTTGCTCAGTCATGTCCAACTCTTTGCAACCTCATGGACTGTAGCCCACCAGGCTCCTCTGTCCATGGGATTTTCCAGGTAAGAGGACTGGAACAGGTTGCCGTTTCCTTCTCCAGGGGGATCTTCCTGAACCAGGGATCAAACCTGTATCTCTAGCATCTCTTCCATTGGCAGGCAGTTCTTTACTAATTCGCCACCTGGGAAGCCTGTTGTTATAGCTCAACAACAACAACAAAAATCCAATTAAAAAATGGGCAAAGAACTTGAAATGGACATTTCACCAAAGAAGATATAGAAATGGCTAAAAAGCACATGAAAAGATACCCAAATCACTAATCATTAGGGAAATGCAAGTTAAAACCACAATGAGATATCACTTTAAACTTACTAAGATGGCGGTCACCAAAAATAAACAACCCAGAAGATAACAAGTGTTAGTGAGCATGTGGAGAAATCGGGAAACCCTTCTACACCATTGGTGGGAATGTATGAAAACAAGTACAGCAGCTGTCGGAAACTAGTGTTTCCTCAAAAAATTTAAAATGGAATTACCATATGATCCAGCAGTTTCACTTCTGAGTATGTACACCAAAAAGTTGAATGCAGGATCACAAATGTATACATTCATTAACTTTTATGTAGGAATCAAGTTCGCCTCATCATCTCATCTCTAGCACTCATAATCTTTCTTTTTAAAAAACTTTTTATCTTTTAATGGGGTATAACCGATTAACAATGTGACAGTTTCAGGAGAACAGGGAAGGGGCTCAGCCACAGGTATACATGTATCCATTCTCCCAAAAACTCCCCTCCTGTCCACGCTGCCACATAAGGTTGAGCAGAGTTCCATGTAGCACTCATAATGTTTGTGGTCTTTGCTAATTTGATATCTCATTCTAATTTACTTTTCTTTGATTTCTACTGTGTTGCTAATCATATATGATTCTGCCTTTGGGAACTATTGATTCAGATTTTTTATATAATTTTTAAAGGTTACTTTCCACTTAGTTACTACAGATGTCTATATGTGTGTGTGCTGTATACATACTCAGTTATTTAGTTGTGTCCAACTCTTTGTAACCTAAAGAACTGTAGCCCTCCAGGCTCCTCTGTCCATGGGATTCTCCAGGCAAGAATACTGGAGTGGGTGGCCCCGCCCTCCTCCAGGGGCCCTTCCCAACCCAGGGATCAAACCCAGGTCTCCAACACTGCAGGCGGATTCTTTACTGTCTGAGCCACCAGGAAAGCCCAGGTATTACAAAGCATTGGTTGTATTTCCATGTTGTACAGAATATCCTTATGCCTATCTCACACCCTCTAGTTTGTACCCCGACACCCCTATCCCAATATCCACCCCCGTAACCACTCTTTTGTTCTCTGTATTTGTGAGTCTGCTTTCTTGTTATATTTACTAGTTTGTTTATTTCACATATTAGTGATACCTTGGTATCTGTCTTTCTGTCTGACTTACTTCAGTTAGCATAATGCCCTCTGAGTCTATCCATTTCGCTTCAAATGGGGGAATTCTTTTTTATGGCTGAGTAGTATTCCATTGGTTTTCTGAGACAACTATATACTGTTTTCCCCAGTGGCTGTACAAATTTACATTCTCACCAACAGTGTACAAGTGTTCCCTTTACTCCACATCCTCACCGTTTGTTATGTGTGTTTTTGATGATAGCCCTTCTGACAGGTGTAAGGTGGTTTTGATTGGCCTTTCCCTGATGGTGATGTTGAGCATCTTTTCATGTGCATTTCTTTGGAAAAATGTCTGTTCAGGTCTTCTGCCTGTTTTTTATTCATTATGAAAGTGAAAGTCACTCAGTCATGTCTGACTCTTTGTGACCCCATGGACTATACAGTCAGTAGAATTCTCCAGGCCAGAATACTGGAGTGGGTAGCCATTCCCTTCTCCAGGAGATCTTCCCAACCCAGGGATCGAACCCAGGTCTCTCACATCGCAGGAGGATTCTTTACCAGCTAAGCCACAAGGGAAGCCCTCTGCCCATTTTTTAATTGGGTTTTCTTTTTTTTTTTTTTTACTGTTGGGTTATATGAGCTGTTTATGTATGTTGGATATTAAATTCTTTGTCATACCATTTGCAAATGTTTTCTCCTAGTCAGCAAGTTGTTTCTTCATTTTGTCTATGGTTTCTTTTGCTGTGCAAAAGTTTTTACGTTTAACTAGGCTCCATTTATTTTTGCTTTTGTTTACTTGATGAAATTCAGGTTCTTTGTCCTTGATCAGTTGGAATATTACAAATTTTATCAATTTATATGTTTGTTTTAAACACATTTAAAAAGAAACTTTCTAGTTTTTGGAATTTTTTTTTTTATGTTTCTCTTTTTGGTATTAAATAATCCCAGATCCTTCCTTTCCCTACCTCAAAAGTTATTATATATACTAGATCTGTGTATGGACTTTATCTTATTCTCATTGACCTGCTGTTACCACACTGCTTTGAATAATGTAGCACTGTATTACTGTCAGGACAATATATTTAATTTTTTTAATGTAATTTTTATTTTGGAGTATAATTGATAAATACACTTTGATATCTGGTAACAGTAGATCCTCATTAGTCTTCCTTTTCTCAAAATGTATTTGCCAATTTTTCAGCTTTTGTTATTAATGACTATCAGTGTGGTTCCTGTAATACAACTATAAATGGTTTATATTGTTACTTTATTACCCTATTGTGTTAGTTCATCTATTTAAATAGTATATTCTTTTCATAACTGTTGACAATGCAGTGCATTTCCTGTGCTATCATTGTGATACTTTGTGATTAATATAGTAATATTCCCAAAAGGTATTGAAAATTATTATGTAATATTTTTAGAAAGAGAGCATTTTAAATGGCCTAAAATTCAGCATTAAGACCAAGAAGTTAAATCAGAGTGGGCTAAGTGCCAGAATTCTGTGTAGATCTGGCTATAAAATGTCACCACTCTGACAAAAAAATCAGCTATAAAGGAAAGTTGCTAGCAATGACTTTGAATATACTTCTGGCAAAGTCCTACCATAATAACTGTTTTATTGCAGTTAAGGAAATTATTTTCAAGCCTTATATGGGAAATAAAAAACAGAACTAAAGATAAATATATTCCAAAAATTAACATTGAGTCATTCCTTTTGTTGCTTGAGCCAAAGATCCCTATAGTCAACAATCTGTATAGTCAATCTAAATAAATATTTTTTCCTCAAAAATCATTATTTCTTTTTTTTTTAAGATTTTGGGAAATGCTGAAATTTCATATAGTGTAGTAATATAATTTATAAATAAAATGCATCAATACAGAATACTAATAAATTTCTTGTAGAAAACGTTTATTTAAGTTGCCTCCCAAAATTTAGAAATACCTAGAAAATATACAACTTTGAAAATGTAGCAATATTTACAAGGCCCTTTTTCAAAGTCTCAAACATCTCTCAGTTCTAATTCATCTGATGTGTCTTCAGTACATGGTATTTGATGGCAAAGAACGGGACCTTTTAAGAGTTCTTGCGTACTTTTGATCTGTTTGAAAGTGCTGATTTGAACAAATGCAGCCCACAGAATTAAAAATTTGAACACTTGAA